TGAGGTGATGTAAAAACCTAAGACTTGACAGAAAGTGGCATTTGTCAAAACAAAGATTGAAATGTGCACTTAGATCTGAATATTTCAGTGCCTGTAAATTACACATTGATTTAAAAAAAAAATAAAAGTAGATGAATTTCACAAAGAGGAGAAGTTGTCAAGTCTAGGCAGATGGATGATGTCAGAATTAACCAGAAGCAGGAAACTGGATTTTCCAAAGGAAGCTCTTTGTATGTGATTTTAATTCACATAACATTTAAATTCACCATTTAAAGCACACACTTCAGCAATTTTTAAGGTCTTGGAACTGCCGTGCAACCATCACTACAATTTTGGAATAATTTTTTTTCTTCAAAAAACGTGGTACCTATTCATGATTTTTCCCCATTTCTCCCTATAACCATTCCCGAGACCAAGATAGCACTAATCAATTTTATCTCTATATATTTGCCTAATTCAGGCACTTCTTACAAATGGAATAATACAATATATGATGTTTTATGACTGCTTCTTTCACTTAGTATAATGGTGTTAAGGAATTCACGTGTCAGTACTTAATTTCTTTTTTTTCTCCCCAACACTATTCCATTGAATGGATATACCACATTTCTTTGCCCTTAGGCAAAGAATGATAGGCACTAAGGGTTTTTGCTCCATTTGGAACATGTACATACATATTCACATACACGTTTCTGTGGAGATACATGTTAAAAATTTCACATTTCTGTGGAGACACCTGTTCAAAACTTCTAACTACATACCTAGGAGCAGAATCACTGTGTTATATTCTAACTCTTTAACTTTTTAAGAATTCCAAAGCATCTGCATAATTTTATACATAGAGTACATATACATATATCTATGAATAGATATATAAACTCTGTGTGTGTGTGTGTGTGTGTGTGTGTGTGTGTGTGTGTGTGTGTGGTCTGCAGGTCCCTTAAGCCATGCTCACAGGGCCCTGACGGCCATTCCTAGTGATGTTGCTCATACTCTATGGTGTCAGGGATTACCCAAGTCAATCCTATAGTACTGGTGTTAGGAGAGGGAGCAGCTCCAAGGATATACCTGGTGATGCTCCTGGGACCATGAGGTGTTAAGGATCACATTGGGGTCTGCTGTATGCCAGGCATGTACCTCAATCCCTCCATAATCTCTTAGACTCACCATTTTATATGTCTAGTAGTAGTACATAAAGGATCCACTTTTCCACATCCTCATCCACATTTTTTATTATCTCTCTTGTTATTTAGAAAGGGGAAGGTGGAACATCTATCTGTTCTCAGAGCTTTCCTCTGGCACTGGACTTAGGGACCACTCTTTGCAGTGCTCACGGTACACTATGGGATGCCAGTCATCTCTGAGTCAGTCAAGTGTTTCAATCCTTGTACTATCTCTCTAACCTTGCCATTTCATATTTCTACTTCATTGTAGTTCTGATTGCCTTCCTCTATGGTTAATGATAGTGAAGTTCTTTGCATGTGCTTTACCATTTGTTAATTTTTTTTTGAGAAAGTGAATCTTTTGATAGAACTCTTTGATGAGATATTTACTCTGAATAGATTACTTCAATCTATTTGTTCTACTCTTTTTGAGTCCTTCTACACCAATATAGACATTGGTGCAAAGACCTAGGGAAGTGTATCACTCTAAAGTCACAGTTCTGGTTTACAGCTACTTTTATACTGCATACGGAGTAGGAGGGCTGGAGCGATAGCACAGCGGTAGGGCGTTCGCCTTACAAGTGACCAACATGGCCGACCTGAGTTCCATTCCTCCGGCCCTCTCGGAGAGCCCGGCAAGCTACCGAGAGTATTCGATATGCCAGACACAGTAACAACAAAGTCTCCAATGGAGACGTTACTGGGCCCGCTCGAGCAAATCGATGATCAAAGGGAGGGCCTTTACCTTTACTTACTTTATGGAGTAGGAACAACGGAAAAATAAGAATTACAGTGTGGCCTCTGTAAGCAATACTAAACTCTGGATCTTGGCACTGTCTGGATAGTTCTCTAGTGTTAAATGAGGGTAGGCTGGTACCTCATGAGGATGCATTATTCATATGCAGTTTCCAAGTTTGACTAATATCACTAATAATTGATGCTATATGGGCAAAAGCAGATTTTGAGGACAAGACCATTGGAAAATAATAGGATAAGACTCAAACAATTATATTTTAAAAGGTTCATTGGTTTTTGTAATGATAATTTTAGTCTATATATCATAGTAGCTACTCCATTGAAAGACCAAAATCTGTTGCCCACTTTTGATGGCATAATAGCTGGTATTGGTTGAACAATTACCCACAGTCCTTCAGGCATCTTCCCAAACACTATCCCTGAAACAAATGCTTATGAAGCATTAGACTGTTCTAATGTTTCCCCATGTCTTCTATTGTTTAAAGAGAAAATGGAAAAATAACAAGGAGGTAGAGAAAAAGTAAACAAAATAAATGGTATGGTAAAAAATAGGAACATGAGCATAAAATGTAAAATGTAATGCAAAGGTCAGACATAAATTTATGTCCAATCTACACAACCAGGAAACCTAAGGATAGATGTGTTTAATTTTGTATTTGACCCAGCTTAATTATATCTATTTGACCCACTTCTATTATATTCTATCATCAATTTCATAAAGAATATTTATCATTCAAGGTAGAAGTGTCAAATTTCATCTGTTCCTACATGTCCTTCAGCCTTCCATCCTCCCTGTAGTGCTTCCTTCTTAACTCTTTGGAATCTGGCCTCCAACTTAAAATAATACATCCAATGACTCTCACAGAATGGAGCAGTTCACTGCCTAATTCCTTACCTGAAAGAAAGTAAAGTGAGTAGTTCATTTGCCTTGCATGTGGCTAACCAGATTTTGATCCCAGGAGGAAAACGTTCCCCCCATGAACCGCTGGGAGTGATCCCTGAGCACTGATAGGAATGACCCCGAGTAGAGGCAGGACTAAGCCCTGGCCTGCTCTGTGTTTAACGAATAAGCAAAAGTGAAGAGTTCAAGAATAGCTCTAAGGAAAAAATGGTATCACTCAGTTTGGTCTGCATTTGTGAACCATATGTACAGCTGTAGGATTTAGAAGTTTTCATAAAGTTGTCAAAGTATTAAGGTACTCATATGCTCCTGTTGTTGAGGATAAATGATATCTTATTGGTATCTTATCCCAATTTTTGACTTTTGTACATGTGGTATCAACCTGTATTCATAAGACTGGAAGTAAAAAGGACCAATTGAAAATGTAAGTAGTAAAAGAGTAACAAGGTAATAGTCATTTTATTTTGTAAAAATATTTAGTTACTAATAAATATTCATTTTAACACCACCAACAACAAATATATGTTTAATATAGGAGCAAGTAGTAAAAGTTATGCCAGTAAATAAAGCCGATTCCATTTGAAATATCAAATCAAACTGGATTTGAGATCCCATCTGATTCCTTACCAAGTCCAGCCAAACCCAATTAAACCCAACAGATCTCAGCTAAACCAAATCAAACCTAGTCACATACAACCAAACTTAACCAAATATAAATCATAAGAAAACTTAACCAAACATAACCAAACATAGCTATAGCTAGTCAAACACAATAAAAAACAAAGCAGATGTGTTAAATCCAGAGTGAGATATCTTATATTGAACATAATCAAGATTAAATATTAATTTTTCCCCCCAGAACACATGATTTTTGAGTTTGCTCTTGCTTTCAAAATAGGTATTTTAGGAGTTGAAGTAATAAGTACAGTACTGGGGCTCTTGCCTTGCTCACAGCCAATCTGGGTTCAATCCCCACCACCCCATATGGGCCCCTGAGCCCCATCAGAAGTGATCCTAGGCTCAGGGCCAGGAGTAAGCCCTGAGCACTGCCAAGCACAACCCCCAAATGAACGAACAAAAATAAAATAAAATAGCTATATTAGATACACCAAAGATACCAAAGATACTGAAAAAGTATGTGTAATCTTTTGGTTTACTGCACCTTATGTAGAGAATCTCTGTTAGAAACTTTATATATAAAGAAGTATCAACTGTTGTTTTTAATATAGATGAAATACATTAAATATTTGTGTAAAGCATATGAACTCTGCAATCCAAGGTTAATACTAGAGAAAAAGACACTCAACTATGCTACTTGGGAATTACCACTTGAAAAAAGGAAACACACATGCCAAGCAGGAACAGGTTTATGTTTGATTAAACATGAATGTGCTGTGTTTGAAAATATACTCAGTCAATAAAAAAGATTAAAAAATCTTTTAGTCAGCATTTATAATTTATTTAATCTGAGAAAAAAATTAATTTTTTGACTAAAAATATTCTTTTACATAAAAGGATACGGGCTGGAGCGATAGCACAGCGGGTAGGGCGTTCGCCTTACACACGGCCAACATGGCCGACCCGAGTTCGATTCCTCCGCCCCTCTTGGAGAGCCCGGCAAGCTACCGAGAGTATTTGATATGCCAGACACAGTAACAACAAAGTCTCCAATGGAGACGTTACTGGGCCCGCTCGAGCAAATCGACGATCAATGGGAGGGCCTTTACCTTTACCTTTTAAAAGGATAACCTCAAAATCCTGAAATTACTTTGAATAATTGTCATGTAAAGAACAGAGAGAAATGACTCAAAAGAAATCATATATAAATTTTATGTCTTGTATTGATCACCTTTTATTTCACCTCCAGTGATATTTATTCTATATTAATCTGTGTACCATTTTTCTTTGGAAGATGACACAGTATTTTTTTTAATTAGGAAAGACAGATGATGCTAATTTATGCTTGGCCTACACCAGTAATCAATACAAATGGAGACATTAAGAAGGATCTTCTGTTTTTGGTTTTTAATAGAAGAAAAACAATCCCTGAGAATTCAGACATAGTTGCATACATATTTAGTTTAAGTATCATAAACTCTTTATGTCATAATTTCCTTACTGACAAGCTACTTTAAAAAATGAATGGCTTTCATCATTATCTTTTAATTTTTGGAACTTACTTTCAAAATCCAGGAAAAAATGTGGATAGTTTTCAATTTCCCTGGTAAGGACTTTGAGCAGGTTTCCCATCCCAGCAAACCTAGGAGAGGTAACACAAAACCAAAAACCATTAGCAGTGTTAAAAATAGACATCTAAAAAGGCTGAATAAATTAGACTAACTTGAATAATAGACCACTGGGACACCTTGCACCTTCATCTGAAGATCATCCAGAGAGCATCTTTCTTCGAGGAGATGAGTAATAGCTTAGTAATGCATTCCCCTATCAGAGCATATCTACTGAACTGGGTCTTGAAAATTTAGGGCTATCTGACCTAAACCATACAAAGTGTGACAATAAGAAGAATGACACAAGCTCCCCCCTGGAGAATACACTTGCATCCTGTATCTCAGTCACCCTAAAGGAAATGAACAAAAGAACCTTTGATTTAAGAAATTGGATATTAGTTAGTTAGTTCCTGGCAGTAGCTTAGTTATATTCTACACATCACTCCTTTCCCCCTTTACCAACTGAATCCATACAGCTAATAATTCCAGTGTGTTTTATTTCATTTTTGTCAATGCGATATATCATGCTAATGGGCAAGCATAGACGTGAGGGAATTATTAAAATATCTATCTAGAAGCATAAGATTTTACAGCTTCTGGAAATAAAGAGCTTAGAAACACAGATTTACCCTGGGGACCCTTCTTAAACTAGGGGAATTCCTAGGACGGTCACCTTTTCCAGGAGGTATAACTCCAAGGCAAAGAAGAGTCTCTTTATTTGACATCTCAATGAAATTGGGTTATTCATAAAGTGCAAAAAATATAAAAAATACAGAACCTTTTTTTAAATAAAAACTATATTATAGCTTGAAGACATTTGCAAAGGTAACTCAAATCTACAGAGAAACACAAATTTGTAACACATCTGCAATCTGAGTTTCAAAGTATCGAGAAAATGCAGTTATTATTTAAATGCATCATTTCTGCTGCTGTCAGTTCCCTATGGTAAACTCCTGCTCAGGAGGCCACTAACCCATCCATTTACCAAACTTGTATCCATAGACCTACAATTCCATGGTTGTACCCCTTGGAAGACACTGGGACTAGTGAAGCAGATACCTTTGCGAGTAGAGACTCAATTTGAAGAATCACTGGACCAGTATATGGAAAGTGCAAGGTTGTAATTTTTCTCTGCACATGGCTTCTGACAGTGTTTACACAAGGGAGTTTAATAAATATACCAGTACAGAGAGAAAGAATGCACTAAAAGAACAAGCTTGAGAGCCAGAGAGACAGTACAACTATTTCTTGTATGCAGCCAACTGGGGTTCAATCCCCGGCACTGCATATTGTTACCTAAGCCCTTTCAGGAGTGATTCATGAGTGTCGAACCAGTAGTAAGACCTGAACACAGTCAGGTGTGGCCAAAAATCCAAAAAGATGTGCAGGAAAGTGTGAAACAAGCAATTTTCTTATAAACAGAATATGGTATAGTCTAGCCCCCCAGCGCCATCTTTACAGCACACAGCAACAAAGAAGAACACCACTGGAGGTCACCACAGCTCCCGGAGAATGCTCCAGGTCCCAAACAGAGCCGATCTCACCAGGAGGTCCCAGATGCGGTAGCTGCCGCATCCCGCCTTCTCCAGATGGAACCCCGGTGACCTTGAGTCTCTACAAGCATAGTTCGGGCATGCAGGAACCAGGACATTTTTTTCCAAACCACGCGGCCGCATAAGTGGCCACACGACATCTCCATATATATACAAAGTGATCAATGGAAAGTAAATCATCCAACTTTTCTCCCTGAAAATCAGGCTTAACTCTTTTGCAAACCACAACACTCAAAAGGAGAGAGAAAACAAGAGGGGAATGCCCTGCCACAGAGGCAGGGTGGGATGGGGGGCATGGGGGGTGGGAGGGATACTGGGATCCGAGGTGGTGGGAAATGGGCACTGGTGGAGGGATGGGTATTCAAAATAAAAAAATAAATAAATTTTTAAAAATTTTTTAAAAAAGCAAACAAAAAAATCAGAATATGGTATAGTCTAGCCTCCATGATCGTTTCCTGCAAATACACACACACACAAATACACACAAACAAACACACATGGAGGTATCATCTACAGTGAAACTCAACAAGGTGAAACTTGGAAAGGATCTCCTAAGGAGACCTGATTTCCAATGTATTTATCTCTATAATCCAGGGATCTCTCTAATCTTCAGTTTCTTATCCGCAACATAATTTATTGCATCTGGTAATGACAGTTAAATGATAAATATATATATATATATATAAAATGCTAACTTAGCAAATACTATGTTATTTTGGATGTGTTCTCAAGGAATGTTATAGGCTATCACTATTGAGAATTGTCACTGTTGTCTTCATTATGATAATCATACCAATTTTTAAACAAAGTTGTCTGATTAAGAATGTATTTGGTGGAAAGAAAGATGGCGGCCGCACGGGAGCATTGGGGACAGCAGGTTTGAGCCGGGGTTGGTGGGAGCGGCAGGGACCTCATGGGAAGGGGGGCGTTGTGGGCCGTCCCTCACGCCCGACCGAGGTCGCCAGCTGCCCCCCACAAGCGGCTCTCCGGCACGGCCATGACTCCAGGGCACAGAAACCAATCTCTTAACTATCTAACTTTTAATAGAAATTCTTCCAGGGTCAATAAGTAAAATAGCAGAAATCCAAAACCAGGGGTGAGCCCCTGGTTTTATGACATCATTTTATTCTTAAACCAAGTTGTAGAAAGCAAATCATTTCACAACGCTGTTTCAGCATGTCTGATTGTCGGGGGTGGGTCATAAACTCTAAACAATAATTGTGCATCTTCTATCAAAACAATGTATCTAGTCAAAGTAGATAGAGTATTAACTAGAACTCATCTGCCTCACAGGAATTGGGAGGGGTGGGAGGTGGGGTTCTATGGGGGTTCGGGGTTAAAAATAAGTATTGGTAAAGGGAAATGTGTTTGATATTTACATGACTGAGACCTAAACCCGAAAGCTCTGTAACTTTTCCCACAGTGATTCAATAAAGAAATAAATTATAAAAAAAAAAAAAGAATGTATTTGGTTGTCTATAGTTCTACAAAAGAGAACTGGGACCAGTGAGAAAATGACAATCTTTATTTAATTTTTTGAAAAGAATTTCTCACTGTTAGAATTGTCAGAATATTGAATGTTATGAAATAGTGTTGGTGTTTAATTGGCAATATGTTATACATGTCCTTTTAAAATGAACTATATGTGGACAAAGTTGGATTACATACTTCTTAGGCCTTACTCATATTTATATATGTGGAATTGGTCATACATATGTATGCATATATATATATATACACACACACAGTAGGAGGCAAAACATTGTTTCTTTTTGGAAAGTAAAATCTCCTTTTTTTTTCTTTTGGTCAATCTTAAATTCCTCTGTAATCTTAATAAAATCCTAACACATTTTTTAGCACAAACTGGTATAAATAGGTACTGGTAAATTAATAACTGGAACTGATAAAACCCACCCCTGCCAATGAATTTATAAATTCTCCTGGGTCTTTTAGAAAGAACCTGTTTCTATCTTAATGAATGATCCAGCTCATATCTGGAGGCACTTTTTGGAGGAAGGTGACACTACAGCTGTGTGGAAGCCTCCACTTTTATATAAAGTGCCTTAATGGGAGTTAAGTAGTCTTCATTTCCTAGTTTTGTGTTAATTGTGCATCACAAGAGACCAAAATGGATTTAGCTTCCTCCTAAAAAAATCTGTCTTGTATATGATTTTACTGTCAGAATTGGATAGTATGTCAAGTCCTTAAAAATTAGTAATAACTGAAAAAAATCCCGATGAAAACATTAGCAGGCAACAGAATTCTACCTATACCTTAAGTGGCTGATAAGACTAAGTATTTTGGAATTCAACCCTAACATCAATCAAGGTCACTATAAATCTTGTGGTTCGAACAGGATTTTGTGATACTGGGTGTCAAGTCCAGTCCTGTGGAAACTACAAAGCATGTATGTATACAAATTATCTTTGAATAAAGATAGAAATAGTTTTATTTCCTTTATGGAGAAAAGATTTGATGATTACGTCTTCTTCCTTCCAAGATTGACAAGAATTCATAAAACTGTTTCTAACTTAAAGAGAGATGACTTCACACGATGGCCATGGGGTAGAGACCATGGCTGTTTTTAATTGTGCCCAGGGCTCCACTTGAAATGATTTCTTGCCCCTGAGGCTTCTCTTACAGCCACTGGCCATATTCCTCAGGGCAAAGACACTCTTTTCAAACAGTTCCTAAGTACATACACAATGCTTTGCTTTATACATTACTATGGAGGTGATATAATGAACTAATAAGAATTACTTTTAATATTTTATCTTCTTTAATTGAAAACATACATAATTAAGGCATAGAAATACGTGGTAAAAGCAAGAGGGGGAAAGTGTTGAATAGTAGGATAAAACTGAGAGTGTTTATGGCAAATGGATGCATCACTGCATCACTGTCCTCCCGTTGTTCATGGATTTGCTTGAATGGGCCCAGTAACATTGTGAGACTTATTGTTACTGTGTTTGGCATATCGAATACGTCATGGGTAGCTTGCCAGGATTTGCCGTGTGGGTGACTCTCAGTAGCTTGCCAGGCTCTCCGAGAGGGCCAGAGGAATTGAACTTGGGTCAGCCATGTCAGCTGCGTGCAAGGCAAACGCCCTACCTGCTGTGCTATCGCTCCAGCCCGGCAAATGGATGAGACCAGAGTATCATGCTAAGTGAAATGAGTCAGAAAGAGAGGGCCAGACATAGGAAGATTGCACTCATCTGTGGAATATAAAGTAACAGAATGGGAGACTACCACCCCAAGAATAGTAGAGATAAGTACCAGGAGGTTTGCTCCACAGCTTGGAAGCCGGCCTCACATGCTGGGGAGAAAATGAAGCTCAGATAGAGAAGGAAACACCAAGTAAAAGGTGTTTGGAGGGCCCGCTGGGGATGAGAGATGTGCGCCGAAAGTAGACTATAGACTGAACAAGATGGCCATTCAATACCTCTATTGCAAACCACAACACCCAAAAGAGAGAGAAA